TAATCGTCAAGCATGGCACCACTGTAGTATAGATAAGCTCTGGCAGAAGTGAATGCTATTTTATAGAAAGTGAAGGAGTGTGGGGTTCCGCCCCCCCTGCACATGATGACATTTTACTTTCCTCACAGGCTGCGAAAAAACACAACGTCCACCCATACAGATGTGGAAGAACCATCTTCTCCACAGCATCCTGCTTCAGAAACGTCCTCCCTCTTCGATGATGACTTTCTGGAGTCTTTCAGCACCCCGGCGATCAATCTGGAGTCGACCACGAAAGAACTGGAGGAGTTCGTCCCTCATGTCAGGAGCCTCTCCGCTTCCGCGGTCCAGCAGCTGGCTTCTCGGGACCTGGATCGGTTTAGAAGGTTTAAGAAACAAGGTGTGGATGATCTGGAAAGATCAGCCGTTGTCATGAGGGTGGCCTGCATGAGTTAAGACAGGGAACGCTGTGTCGTAGGCCCATGATTTTTGCAGGGGGGAAACTGTTGACTACATATCCCATGATTCCCTTTCCCCCCAAATTATGTCTGTAGCAGCAGTGCATTTCATATGCTTACCCAAAGGACTTCAAGTACTTTTTTAATTGGTTTGGAACTGAAAAAGTCCCTTTGAAAGCCACAGAGAACAAGTGTACCATTTACAGTGGCTGCTTCTGGGCTATTATAGGTTCCCAAATTTTGCAAACTGCTCCGTCTGCCAGCTGAAAACAGCAGTGGGAGGCGTAAAACAGGGCTAAATCCCCCCCTCCCCGGGAGTACGAGGAAATTTTTTAAGCCATCTTTGCACCCCTTGGGGGCATGGTAGCTGATTGGTTTGAGCATCTGGCTATGAAGCCAGAGGTTGGGAGTTTGATTCCCCCATGGGGCCTCCTTGATGGGCTGGACTGGATGATCTCGAGGGTCCCTGCTCTGCCGTTCAAAGAGGATGATTAGTAAATCCCTCCCCCCCACCTAAAAATATTTTAAATAAATAGAGCTGTTATATTCTGCTGTACAGTGGAAAGGCTGCGGGACCAGATTATCGGTTGGCAACCCAAGGCGGTAAATACCCTCCGGCTTCCATGGAGCGTAAACGGAAGGGAGGGTGGCTGAAAATGTCGTCATGCATTTTCTCAGGCCCAGCGTTTTAGACCCCGTTCTAAAATCTTCGTCGTAGCGCTTCACTCCTCTGTCTTCCCGCCCCCGTTACGTTCTAGGCATCGCGGTGAGGTTTGGCAAGTTTACCAAAAAGGAAGACAGATTATTGAAGGAGAACATTGAGGCCTTCTTAGAAGAAACTGGAATAGACAGCGCGGAGAAACTCTTGTTCACCCACAGATTTCCCGAAGAGAAAGCTGCCATCAACAAGCTGAAAGCCAGCCACCTCTTTGGGGTTCGGATTGGTGAGTTTTGA